GAATGGCAAAGCCATACATATATATGTATCCATTCTCCTCCAAGACCCCCTCCCATCCAGGCTACCACATAACATTAAGCAGAGTTCCATTACATGTGGAATCTAAAAAGAAATGAAACAAGTGAACTTACAGAATAGGAAGAGACTCACAGACTTAGAGAAGGAACTTACGGTTGCTGGTGGGAGGGTTGGAGGGGGAAGGATAGTTAGGGAGTTTGGGATGGACTTGTGCCTTCAGCTGCTGAACAGCTTTCTTGAGCCTTTTTTCTCATGGGAGACAATCCAGCTTTGACAAAAGGAAGTGCTCCTTTCCAGCTCTTTCTCAAGGCCGTCCCTTCTAGGGGTCATCCTTCTGCGGTATATAACTGATATTTTTGTGCACTTTGTTGTCCCTACATTTAGACTATCTGAACAGCAGTATTTTTCTCCTTCCTCACTGCCACCCTCCATCAGACCATTTTGAAAGGACAAGTAAGATGCTGCTTAATTTTAGTGTCCCCTCAGTCATCCATTACATCAGTTAAATGAGGGAAGGGTATCTTCTGATTCAACTGAGGAAGAAGGAAGCACGACCTATTTCAGTGCCAAAGTTTAGGGATTCATGACAGACCTAGATTTCCTTATTGACAGTAAATAAACACACTTTCACTTCTTTGGCTATATATGCAATGAACGCTTGACAATGGGGACTTCACGTTATTCCTGAAGAAGGCAGAGAGGAATCTGTGAAGGAGGCAGCCATAAGAGATACGGAGAGGAGTCCACGTGGCCCACCATGCCACCTCCCGCTGTCTGCATCACAGAGAGTAGCTAGACTCCTCTGTGCACAGGGTGAGGAACAATAAAGACCCACCACCATTATATGGACCCTTATCAGGCATCAGCTTTCTGTCAAGAGTCTCATTCATGTGAGACTTAATTTTAGGTTTTACGGATACTCCATGAGGTTGGAGCTAACTGTGACTGCCATGGGCACATAGCGTGCAAACACCGCGGCTGGGATGAACACTGATGGGGTAACTCCGCACCCCACATTTTTGTATTGCGCCTCCGTCCATGGGACGCCTGGCAAGGATACTGGCGTGGCCTGCCCGTTTCCTTCTCCAGGGATCTTCTGACCCGGGGATCTATCGCAGGCCTCCTGCATTGCAGGTGGACTCTACTGTCGGCGCCACCAGGGAATCGGTATTCTTGCACCGTATACTCACAGTGCTCTTACAAAATGAGAGGGGGAAGGGATGACAAGGAAGACGAGGGGAGGAGGAGGAGCAGAGAGGTGTACTTGCTACTAAAATAACAATAATAACATTTCTCAGCCTTATGAATGTGGGTAACCACATCATGATAGTTACTGCTTAATCCTTTTGCCCGAAAGACAAACAAATATGTAAACAAAATGCAGCCCAAACCAAAAGAATATGTTGGTATTTTTCCTTCCCTTCTTTTTGTTATAACATTTTAAGTCAGTAATGAATTTCTTCTTTGATTTAATTAGAAAATCCCCTTCACTTCCAAGCTAACACTCAGGTAAGTGTCAAACTTCCAATTATACAAATTAAAATATGTTTGGAACCAATGTTAAAAACACTATTTGCATTAGGCTTTAATCATCATAAAGGAAAAATGTAAATGTTTCCAGGCAGTCCAACTACATAAATAATCATTCATTTCTTAAGTGCATGGTGGAGTTTTCCCCTGAGAAAATTCCATAACTTTGAGAGTAATGTAAGGGTAATTAATTACCAAAAAGAGATTAATACTGCATGCCAAGAATGATAACAAAATGCAGAGGCCCTACAAACACATTCTGCAGGCAGTTCAGAAAAGGAAATGTTGTGAAGCGAACCTATTTAATTCACATTTCAGGCTTAATTCACAAAAAGCTATTTCTCTTTTTTTGGGTTCAATTATCTCTATTGAATCTCTATTACACATCATTTGAATACCTGCAATACCTTTTTATTGCCCTCATATTCCTCATAGTGTATCTCACCTAAACTCTCCTCTTAGGAAATCCATTTAAGTCTTGTTGCTCCCAACTAATTTCGCAATAACTCAATCATCATAGTTATCTGCTCAAAAACCTTCAATGGCTCTCCATTACTCTTGGAATACATTACAGTCTTTTTGAAAAACGTTTTATTTAATTTTTTAATTGGTGGAAAATTGCTTTACAATTTTGTGTTGGTTTCTGCCATACCACAACACAAATCATAATTATATATAGGTATGTCCCTTCAGTCCTGAGCCCCCCTTCCCTCCCTGTCCCAGCCCTCTAGGTCATCACAGAGAGCCGGGCTGGGCTACAGTCCATGGGTCGCAAAGAGCCGGATATGCCTGAGCACACACACAAAACACAGCCATGACCCATGTTTCCTTCCCCCAGCCCCCTGCTTATCGAAGAGCTATCCTGGTGGATGGTTCAGTTAGCATGGTCTTAGTGCGGGTTTTCCCCAAAACAGAGCATAACACCAGACTTTGACGGTAGGTGGCTTATTTGAGAGGTGATCATGGGAAGCACGTAAAGAGAATGGGACGTGAGGCAGGGAAGGAAGCAGGGGCCATGTAAGCACTTTTCAGCAAGGTTATTGCTCTGGGTATTGGCAACTCAGTTCTGCTGGTGCATCGGCAGCCTCTGAGAGGTGTGCGGAACTCCTTCTGGAGCAGCCCCTCTGAGTGCGGAAGCCTGGCGTTTATGGCGCATCGGCAGCCTCTGAGAGGTGTGCGGAACTCCTTCTGGAGCAGCCCCTCTGAGTGCGGAAGTCTGGCGTTTACCTGCCTGCTTGGGTTCTCCTCTGCGTGGGCGACTTCATGGCATTAAACCCCTTGCTCTTCCTGGCAAGGGCCCCCGTGGCATGAAGCAGACTTGGGGGCAGAGGAAGGGATACTGAGTATTCTCCAGATGGGATTCTATCAGCTAGAGGGTAGCCTGGGCTCCTGTGGCACTGTTCCCTGCAGCTGCAGATCATAGCCGAGGTGGGCCCAGGATGGCGTGGGGCCAGAGGCATTCACTGCATGCGTCCTTTTCATTCTGTATTAGCTAGCTATTGCTGTGTAACAAATTTCCCCAGTAACAAATTATGTAGCTATAATCACACACATTTGTTATGTCATAGTTTCTGTGGATAGAGAACCTAGGTGTGGCTTAGCAGAGCCTTCCAGCTCAGGGACACCTCAGGTCTGACCTCATTTCAAACCTTGACTGGAGAGGGCACGCTCCTGGGCTCAGCCCGAGGGATGTGGATATTGCTTCAGGAGTAGCTGGACTGGAGGCTTCGGTACCTCGATGGCTGTTTTCCTTCATGGGCTGCTTGCCATGTGGGCCTCTCCAACGAGCTTTTCACAACACGGCAGCTGGCTTCATAGAGTGAACGTGCAAGACAGATTCAGCCTTTTGTAATCTAATCTCAGAGGTAAGAGCTCTTCACATCTGTTGTATTCTGTTCATTACAAGTGAGTCACTAGGTCCAGCCCACACTTGGGTGGGTAGAATCCACCATTTCCCAATTCTTAGGGTTATCTCTGTGATCCATTATCAGAATTTGCTAGGAATCAGCCAGGAATTTCTGTCATGATAAAATGTTATATTAAATGTTATTTTGGTGTTTTATCTGTCAAATTTTATATCTGCTTCTCCTATATTTGAAACTTCTGTAAATCTAAGGCACTACAGGATATATGGAAAGAACATTTGAATAAATCATTTGACACCTTTTTCAAAGCCTGCCCTTTTAAAATTAATTCATGTGAAATCCAGTCAAGAGATAGTAAGTACTATAAAAATTTAAGGTACTGATAGTAAATATTTCATGCCACATAGGCCTGAAAGAAAATGTAAACCACTGTAGTTAGAAGATTTACCTAAAGCTTGTAGGGCCCTCTTGTTAAACTCTTTTTTCTTTTTTAAACCGTCTCCACCTTATCTGGGAGGGAGGACTTTTGAACTCACAGCCTGAGGCCCTGAGTCTCGTAGGCTCTCAAATCCTCTCAGACTCAGTTTCATCTGCTATTCAATGGGGTGGCCTAATGTGAATCTTGGGCTTTGCAGGTGGCGCAGTGGTAAAGAATCCGCTTGCCAATGTAGGAAACCCAAGAGATGTGGTTTCAATCCCTCGGTTGGGAAGATCCCCTGGAGTAGGAAATGGTAGACACTACAGTATCCTTGACTGGGAAATCCCATGGCCAGAGAAGCCTGGCGGGCTTTTCAGTCCATGGGGTTGCAAAGAGTTGAACGTGACTAAAGTGCATGCATGCACGCGCACACATGAACACACAGTGTGAACCTCAGAGCATATCAATGTTGACTAAACAAGCACTTGCTATGTGGCACCCTCTGAAAAGCACTCATCATACTGCCTGCATAGTACCTGGCACACAGTAGGCATACAATAAATAGCAACTGATCCTGACTCTGTGTCCAAGGGGACATTGGACACAATGTCCAATTCATTCTTAATCCATTATTAAGAAGAGTTTCTGAAGATCTGACTGGGGAAAGAGAAGAGCTAGGTTTACAGATTCAGTTCAGTTCAGTTGCTCAGTCATGTCCGACTCTTTGCAACCCCATGAACCGCAGCACGCCAGGCCTCCCTGCCCATCACCAACTCCCAGAGTTCACCCAAACCCATGTCCATTGAGTTGGTGATGCCATCCAACCATCTCATCTTCTGTCGTCCCCTTCTCCTCCTGCCCTCAATCTTTCCCAGTATCAGGGTCTTTTCCAATGAGTCAGCTCTTCGCATCAGGTGGCCAAAGTATTGTAGTTTCAACTTCAGCATCAGTCCTTCCAATGACTATTCAGGACTGATTTGCTATAGATGATATCTATATAAGGGACTTGAAAGAAATTCCCTGAGTGAAAAGTTAAGTTGCAAGCATTTATCCTTGCAGTTTGAAGAACTAACAGCAGGTGGAGTTCCGAGCTCACCGGGGGATCAGTTATTCCACACCTGCCTATTGAGGGCCTCCCCATCCATGACATGCTGTCCTCTGGGCTCAAGGACCAGTGGATGCGAGCAGAGGCAGCACTTGGCAGTCAGGAGGGTCACACGGGAGCGGCGGGTGCAGACACCCCGGGCCAGACATGGGTGCGCAGTCGTGCCTGTGCCGTGAGAAGGAAGCAGAGACCAGGCGATGATGCCTGTGTTCACGGTGAGACTGAGGGGGCTGCCGGCAGCATCTGGATGGTGCGGGACACATCCTCCTGCCTGAGCACGGCAGCTCAGAGCTTGTCCTCTGCAGAGAGCCGGCCTGGGTTTGATGTGTGGCTTCACCACTGACTCCCTTTGTGACCCCGGCTATGTTACTTGGTCCCTTTGAACTTCAACTTCTTCATCTGACATGTGGGAATAATTACAGGATGTATTTTGTGGGGCTGTTGTGGGGATTAAAAAATTAATGTGTGTAAAGCATTTCGAACAACCTGGCAATAGTGTTTTGTATCAGCTGATATCACTATCGCTCTTGTTGATGTTGTGGCTGTTATTAATATTGTTCTTGTTATTATCATTGTTCTGATTGTCAACAGCAGCGGCAAGACTCTTGTCCTTTCTATCTTTTTATTTTCTTTGGTCTCCACTGAATTTCAGGGACTTTCAGATGCATGATTCTTATTTAAGAATATCCTGGGAAGTGTGCTGAAATGCAATTTGGGGGCCTGAGTTTTGGTTCAGTGGGCTCAGTGGGTTGGGTTGGGCCTAGGAACTGACATCTTTACTAGGCACCTAGACAAGACTGCACTGTCAGAAATCCTTCCTTAAAGGTCAGAATCATGAAATGTAGGATTTACGGAGACACTACCATGCTTTAAACCCTGGGCTAAGTGCTTTGTGCATGCCATTTATAATCTTAACAAAAGCTCTGCTAGGCCACTATCATTATCCCCATTTGATAATGGGCAGCCTGAGGCTCAGCATAATCTAGACACCTCATTCCTGTTTGCTCAAGACCCTGCCCGTCTTCCACAGGCAGCGTTGCGCCACTCTGTGCGAAGGTCTGCTTGGTCACTTTTAGCCCGTTAGTCCCCAGTGTGACGCCTCTGCTGCTGAAGCCTGTGTGCCCCCAAAGCCCGCGCTCCGCCCTGAGAGGAGCCAGTGCAGAGAGAACCTGCACCCACAGCTGGCGCACAGCCGCCGATCCTGTAACCAGAGAAAGGGGCGGGGCAGCAGCGCAGACCCAGAGGCCAACAACAAAAAGTCCCCTACTGGAGATCACTCAGCTGAGGATTTGGGTGGGTTAGACCCAGGATCTCTAGGAAGGAGAAATACGAGGACCTCCATCTGGGAAATAAAGCATTTTGTTTAAAAATGTTTCCAGCTTTATTGAGATATAACTGACATATAACATTGTCAGGCAAACAAAATTAAGAGATTTTCACTATGGTGGGATTTTACAGGAGGGATAATATCAGAGGGGTATTTTGAAAGACAAAAGGCATTTCCGACAGGCAGAGACACAGAAAAATGGCCTGGCAAGGGGAATAGAAGGATGTGGGAAAGACCATGGCTTGTTTGGGGATTGTAAGGAGATTCTTGTGACAGAGGATGATGTTTTGTCTGATTGGAGAGGTGGGAAAGACCTGGGTAATGAATGACACAGCACGCCATGCTCCAGATCTGGTGGGGAGTCATGGAGAACTTTCAGCATGAGTGGAACATGGTTTTTAATTATATGGATGCCTACAGTGTGGTCAGAGGTGATGCTGATGTCAAGATTTATAAGATCTAGGCGACCAAAAGGACCTCACCATGAAACTTTATCTACTGTGTGTGTGTGTGTGTCTGTGCACACACGTGTCTCACAAGGGCCCCTGTGTTCTTCTTTTTTTTTTTTTAACAAAGATTCTTTTTTGATGTGGACCATTTTAAAAAGTCTTTATTTAATTTGGTGTTAATATAACATTGCTTCTGTTTTATACCTTGGTTTTTTGGCCACGGGGTATGTGGGATCTTAGTTCCCGGACCAGGGATCAATCCTGCACCCCAGCATTGTAAGGCAATGTCCTAACCACTGGACTGCTGAGAAGTCCCCCTCCCACCATATTCTTTCATAAAACTCTTTCTTTGATAATTGCCACACCTTTCATAAGTCTTTGGAAGCTTTGCCATAAAATAGAGCTACAAATGAACATATCAAAATCAACTCAAAAGTTAACCAAGGATTTGAAAGCAAAATTAACTTCTCACTAATGGTTGACATTTTTTTTTATCATCTTATCCTAAGTAATTCCACACACGCTTTCCCTTGACAAGGGAATCATTTAAAGTCACAGTGGAGTAAATGAAACTAAGATGCTTCTCATTCCCTGTCACTGACAGATTTTTAATCTAGTGTCAGAGCTTGAATATTCAAAATCCATTCTACTACCTCTCCAGTCAACCCTCTCTACCCTAGCACCTGTGAGGTTTTGGGAACATCAGCTTAAGAATGAACGTGTAACTTCTGATGTCCTATTAAAGCAATTCGACAACTGTTAATGTTTCCAGGATAGCAAAGTCCCTCCCAGACAACAGGGGCTCCCAGCTGAATTCAGCTTGTGGACGGTGCCCATCTAGCAAGTGCACTGATAGATGCTGTCAAGGTGCAGGTTTGGGGGAAAGAACTGTGCCCTGAGCCACGGAGCCAGATGGTGGGTCGAGTACCTACAGTTGGTATCATATGACTGCAGCACGAATTGTAGAGAGCAAAAGCAAGGAGATGTGCTGGGCAAATGTGATTCACAGCTTTGAAATCCACGTTAAAAAGAAGTATGGGCTTTATTCATTTTACCCTTAGAGCAATGGTCTCAGAGCCTTTGAAAAGAAAGGATTTCAGCAAAGGTGAACACCAGGTGGTCATCTTAGAAAATTTACTTTGATGGGTAGTAGGGTTACTAGTTGGAGAAGGCAATGACGCCCCACTCCAGTATTCTTGCCTGGAAAATCCCATGGATGGAGGAACCTGGTAGGCTGCAGTCCATGGGGTCGCTAAGAGCCGCATATGACTGAAGTGACTTAGCAGCAGCAGGGTTACTAATGGGTTTTCCTGGTGGCTCAGCAGTAAAGAATGCAGGAGACTCAAGTTCAATCCCTGGGTTGGGAAGATCCCCTAGATAAGGAAACAGCAACTCACTTTGATTCTTGCCCCGGGAAATCCCACGGACAGAGAAGCCTGGTGGGCCACAGTCCATAGGGTCACAAAGAGGCAGACAGGACTGAGCACACACACTCACACACAGGGCACCTAGCAGCATACACCGAGGGACTGGTACGTTTTGAAAGTGTGCCCACTCCTCTAGGGGACTGCAAAGCCTGGTGCCCAGATTTATAGATGGGAGAGGAAGAGTAAAGTCATAACAGGACAGCATCCCCCTTCCCCCACCGGCAGGGAAACCCTGCATGACAACCAGCCCTGAGGAATGAAATGGGGAATGCAGGTCCGAGGCTGCTGGAGACAGCAGTGATGGAGGCCCGAGCCCAGAGTGCAGATAGAGAATGCAGAGGAGATGGATTTGATCCGGCGCTGAGCTTGACGGGATCTAAAAAGGTGAGGCAAAGACACGAGGTTGGTGCCTCAGTTTCTGACCTGACCATCTCAGGATGTCACATAATAAATATCTCTAGGGGACAGTGTATTATGTTAACATTCAAAATCTCATGCTCAGTCATGTCTGACTCTTTTGGGACCCCATGAACTGTAGCCCACCAGGCTCCTCTGTGCATGAGATTCTCCAAGCAAGAATACTGCAGTGGGTTGCATTTCCTCCTCCAAGGGATCTTTCCAACCCAGGGATAGAACCTGCAACATTCAAAATAGCATATAGCTTAAAGTCTGGACCAAGATACATACATGTTATGTCATGACTATGTATTCTGATTATCTATAGGAATATTTTCAAATGATTGCTAGAATATTCCTCAAGTCAGAATCAACTCCCCCCACCCCCGCACACCCCCACCCTCATCCCCCCCCACCCCGCCGCTCTTTTTGATGGTAAAGGATATTCTGTCTGGAAGCCACAGATGAGCATTTTGCGAGCCCTTCAGGCAAGCTTCCAGAGTCCTCAGCTTTTCCATCTTTAGCTGGACTGTGTGCAGCAAATGGGCGAGTCCAGAAAAGGAGTGTCCCTGATGCCAAATGCCACACTGAAGGTGCTGCCTGGAGAGAGCGTGCCTGTGTGTGGCTCGGCTCTGCGCCCAGGAAGGAGGGGCGGAGATGAAGCAGGTTCCAGGACAACAGTGCCTTTCTGTCCTGCGCCTGCTGCTCCTCTCGCTGTTAGGTGGGCATGGTCTGCTCCGTCCCTCCAATGCGGCATCATGGGCATCAAGTGAGATGGGAACAGCTCCAGCTAAATGTTTTAAAAACAGTACCTTTTAGCCAATTCAATCATTTAATATAATGAAATACTATTTGTTGCCAAAATCTTGCCCCCCCCCCATGTCCACTGTTGCCACATAAAAAAATATAGAGACAGAGTTTGAAGGAAATAGAGTGGCTTTCTCTTTGCAGGGTAATGGGGAATATACAGCAGGCTACTGTCTCAAGAACTATGCCCCCTCCCTTGGGGAACTTGTTGTTTAGTTGCTAATCACGTCTGACTCTTTGTGACCCCATGGTCTGTAGGCCACCAGGCTCCTCTGTCCATGGGATTTCCCAGGCAAGAATACTGGAGTGGGTTGCCATGTCCTCCTCCAGGGGATCTTCCTGACCCAGGGATCAAACCAGCATCACTTGCACTGCTGGCAGATTCTTTACCATGGCATCACCAGGGAAGCCCTGCCTGGTGAACAGGGAGAGGTTTTATATCCTCATGAAGTTCTTGTATATAGATACATTTTTTTCCCTGTCATTTTACAGCCAAAAGCTGGTGTCAGGAGGCTCAGCAACCTGGTCTCGCATCCCCAAAGTTATTGGCTGTGAGCTTCTTCCTCTCGAGATGCAGAATCCTACAAGGAAGTGTAGGGGGAGAACTACGCCAGGTGCAGAATATAATCTACATGGAGTCAGTGCTTAGCTTTGTGAGGGACAAGTCCAGCTACAAGTGTGTGTTAGTAGTAACAGCTAAAGGATAAGCAAGATGGTTTAACTGTTGCAGAGCCGTTTGACTGGTATGTGCCAGAGGCTGCTCACTCACTTTTGTTTTTGCTGAAACGATCCTCCATGTATCACCAGCAAAGCCCATGTACAATTCCAGGGAAATCAGACTAGAATTGGGGTAAGAAAGTCCAATCTTTTTTTCCTTTGTGCTTAGTCTGGAGTCCCTGGCTCACCGGGGACTGTGTGCAGAGGCCTCGCACCCTGCATTCAGACCAGAGCTCCTGGTGCCACACGCCCTCCCACACCGGCACCTGACGGCTCTGTGGGCAGAAGCCCGGCGGCAACTCTCAACTCAAGATGGCGGCCCCCAGCCACGCGCGGAACCGCTCCCCGCAGCCTGCAGCTTCAGGGCTGAGCGCTCCCGCGAGACCTCCGCCAGCCCCGCCCACCGCCGCGAGACCCGGAAACAGCCGGGCGCGCAGCCTGCCGGGAGAGCGTGTGGTTTTGAGCCCCAGTTCTTACCTTTCGGCTTTATGGTCCAAGAGGAAGCGACACCCGGCAGGAGGACTACTGTGCATCCCTGTCTTGAAAAGGTTGGTAACAAACAGATCCTGTTTCAGAGAAAATGAGCTCCCTTTTCTCACAGCCTCGTGGCATTTCTTGTCTAGCCCATATCTCAAACGTGCGCTCCATTACCTGTTTTCCACCTTCTTTTTAAACAATGATACCAATGTGGGCAACTGCAAAAGCAGAAACGAAATGAAGAAAAGGGTAAGAGAGAAGAAGAGATTTCTTTTTCTTAAACTGAGGTTTTTCTGAAGTATTTATTCAGAATGGGCTTTTATTTCTTCAAGGACAAAAGGCCAAACTGACTGAATAGCGAAGAAGCACGTTCTGCCTCTCCTTGTGTAGTTCTCGACCTTCTGTGAGTGTTGATTCTTTTGGAAAATGGATTTGCTGTGGGCTTGAGAATGCTGTACTGTGTCAGTTCCACCTTGAGAGCCTCCTAAATTCTCTAGGGAGAAGCGCGGGTCAGGATTCTCCGTCCTTCTAGGAGGAGGACAGGAGAAACTGTTGGGAAGTTCGTCAGAGTGGAGATGGCAAGCACCAGACCGAAGCGCAGGTGTTTCGGTGTCACCCTCGAGTCAAGTACCTTCACCTGTTTCCATTTTGTTTGTGCGATTGTTTGAATCAGCAGCCCAAGCTGTGCCCTGGTGTTGTCGCCCTGACCAGTGGGAACAGGAAGCCAGCATTAGAAACGTAAGGAAGGGTCACGCTTCCTCCCGTTTGCTGTTATTGTAGTTGACACCTGCAACTCACTAGTCACTTTGGTTTCAAGTGGACACAACAAAAAATGTTCAGTGTGGTTAAAGCTCAGTCTAGGCTGCTACATTTACAATTGCCTTGTTATTTTAAAAATGGCTGTTTCTGGATTTTATTCTTTTCTCTTTATCTTGATTATTTTTCTCCAACGTGTTTGTCCACCATTCAGTCGCCCTTGGGTGACTCAGTTGACTATACCTGGAAAACCTCTGCTGTAAGATTTCACCTGGGCCTTTGCTGTAGCAGACAGATCTGAGGGTTGGAGGTCAGGGAGGGGCGTGACCTCCAGTTCACTGTGGAGCTGGATCCGGGCAATTGGGGGCGGCTACCCCATCCCCATCCTGGAAATCTACACTCTAACCACTGTCGCCACATAGAAGCTGTTAGAGGATGTGGCCTGAGGCAGGAAGGTGTTGGACCATCTGGACGATGTGCCTGGCTGCGCTCAGTCACTTCAGTTGTGTCCAACTCCATGGACGGGAGTTGGTCACTCCATGGACGTGACCCCATGGACGGGAGCCTGCCAGGCTCCTCTGTCCCTGGGATTCTCCAGGCAGGAAGACTGGAGTGGATGGCCATGCCCTCCTCCAGGGGCTCTTCCCAACCCAGAGATCTAACCTGCATGTCCTGCATCTCCTCCATCTCAGGTGGATTCTTTTCCACTGAGTCTCCTGGGAAGCCCTACTGTGTGCCTAGACCATATAAACTTAAGATTCTGGCAGGCACGTGCGGAGATATACTGTCTTCCAGATCCCAGGACAGACTTCATGTGTAAGTTGCCTTTTTTGTTAAAACTGCCACTTCCCCATCCCCAGTGGATTTCTCTTTCTTCTGTCCCTCCCTGCCCTTTGCGTTCAGGGGCCAGTTTGCTCACTGGTGGTAAGATATGTTCAGGGCCTTAATATTTTAAACATAAGTGTAATGTGATAGAACAATGGGTTGAAAATGAAGACTGGAATGCAATCACTGACATAAGCCATGGTACACAGGGTTGTGATGTGGATAAATATATCTCAAGTAAATTGTTGTGTCATTTTTTTAGTTACAGGCTGTTGGAACAAAGGATCTCAGGGAGGCTGTTTTAATTTCCTGCTCCTAGCCTCTTGTATTAAGAATGATGAATCTAAGTGAAAAATCCTGATTAATTCAATGAGTTATGGCTGAGGTGTACCTGTCATGAGAGTGAGAGCATGTTTTAGTCTGCTGATGTTTTCTAAGACCGTACTATTCATTGAGTCTCCAGATTTATTTACCAGCAGATTTTTTGTGTGAGCGTACCGTGTACCAGCACCAGTATAAGAATATTGGGCTAACATTCTATTGTTAAGCTTACAACTGCATTGGGGCATATTATTTTCTTATTTAGAACAGTAGTTCTTAGCATGGAATAATACTTGGGAATTGAGTTGAAAAATAAGTAACAATTTCTAAGTCTGTTTCCATATAAATAGCTCAGTGATTTTTTTTTTTTTAACCAGTTTGGGAGAACACTTCTGGGGTGCATAATTTTTAAAACAGTTTGAGTAGTATAAAGATGAGTTGATGTGGATGTGTGTATTTTGGAAGGTTCCTCAGTGAAATTCTCATCCTTCGGACTAGCTAAAACCAAGATAGGAGAGGCGTATGTGTCTTCTGGTCAGAAAAGGCCGGCCACACTTATTAAGTGATTGCAATGAAGAAAAACACTCAAATTAATTTGAGACTCACCTAAGTATTGGCTCCCAGATTAAAAAACTGATTGATTGATGAGCTGCTTCTCCTATGCACAGCTCTGTAAATTTGCTCCAGGCTAAATGGCAGCAGGAATGTATTTACTTAATTGTTATTGTTTAGTCACTAAGTCCTGTTGGACTCTTTTTCCACCCCATGGACTATAACCGACCAGGCTCCTCTGTCCATGGGATTTCCAGGCAAGAACACTAGAGTGGGTGGCCATCTCCTTCTCCAGGGGATTTTCCCGACCCAGGGATCACACCTGAGTCTCCGGCGATGGCAGGCAGATTCTTTACCACTGAGCCACCAGGGGAACCTTTGCTCATGTATTGTTGTTGCTGTTTAGTCAGTAAGTCATGTCTGACTCTTTACAACCCCATGGACTGTAGCCCGCCAGGCTTATCTGTCCATGGACTTTCCCAGGCAAGAATACTCGAGTGGGTTACCATATCCTTCTCCAGGGGATCTTCCTGACCCAGGGATCAAACCCAGGTCTCCTGCATTGGCACGGATTCCTGACTTGTATAGTAGTTCTCCCAAGGAATAGTAATAGCCAGGAGGCTAGCCAGTATGGTGAAAATAAAATAGTACCTCTTGCAAATGATTTACTTTTGTTATTATAAAGTAGTGCCAGCTCAAGATTTTACTTACAGTTACTTTGTTGCGACCATGTCTTAATACGCTCTCCTGAGTGCCTAGCGGTGAACTTCCCACCTGTCTTGGGAACCCAAAGCCCTTGGGTGTGCTTCAGAAGGCACTGCCTGTGCACTTGCATGTGTTCTTTATGGATTATGTGATGGAGGTCAGGCTGAGAGTGATTTTCCTGGTTCCTTCATCCTGCAAGTGTGGTCCTGGGAGGCCGGGCAGTATTGGTATCTCCATGGGATCTTGTTGGAAATGTAGAATCTTGGGCTCTTCTCTGGCCTACTGAAACAGAGTCTGCATTTTAGCAGGATCTCCAGGTGGATCCAAACATACATCACACGTGAAAGTTTAAAAAGCACTTGTCTAGAAGGCCTTTGATGTTTTCTACATTTTTGTCTTTTGTCAGTTTTTTCAATGCAGTTTTTTTTTCTTTTACCATAGTAGTTCCTCCCTTTCCCTGCCTCAAAACAATTCAAATAGTCTTTGAAGCATAAATCATTTAGACTTTAAATGGGAAAGTAAGGGAGAAAGTGGTTGCATTTGGAAGTCAGTGTTGGATAACAGTAATTTTTGAAAATCTGAAATTTATCCATTTTAGAAGTCTAAACACAGTCCTGGTCCCAGAGATCATAATTCAAACAGATTACTTCATCTCTTTACCTGTATTCTAAAGAAAGAGATGTGTGTTTAAATGCATGTGTACATAGCTTCCTTAATGAAAGCTTTGCTGCAAAAGCACTTTGTTCCTAATGCATCCTTAAGTGAAGTTTTGCATTCTTAATTTTCCACTCAAGTAATTTAGAAACCATTAGTTAAAGTGGAACTCTAACATAAAGTAGGATCCTTACAAGTTTAGATGGTTTCCTCTGAAGATTGCTCTTACAATTGTCAGAGAAAGATAAATTCTTAATTGCATTTCATTACATCTGGGTAGCAGATACATGTTTACTTTCCAGATACCTGTCTGGCAAAAGTGGAGGAGAATAGGTGATGAAGTGATACAGTAACATCAAGCTAACAGATTGCGAAGTTCTCTACCTGTCCAGCTGGCTGCTGTGAATCCCCTTTTGTCAGGACAAAAGCATTTCCCCCATCTATCTACACCTCCTTTCTCCAGCAGTCGAGTCAAAATCGGTGTTTCTCCTTTGTTCCTATTTCTCCTATAGTTTACTACACGCTAGACAAGAGAACAGTTGTTGCTCTTGAAGGTTAGAGATTTCTGTTGTCGCCTTCTGAAATTGGCAATCATGGACGATGTCGGCAGTACAGACAGAAGCAGGTTCCCTTTCTTCGTTTCTCTCCTCAAAAGTGTGGTTCTGCCTCTGGCTCTTTCTAAATCTCATTACAAAATCTTCTTCTCTTGTGCCTGAATGGTTTGATTTTTCTTTCAAGTTAGAGGTCTTCTAGAGAAAGTCTTTGAAGTACAATCAGACCCAAATTTCAAAAGTAAAGAGATATATTTTACTGATCTTAAAAAAGGAATTGTGTTCACAAATACTAATATTTGCCTAGGGCCCTTTCCAAAATGAAAGATCTGCCCACATAGATCAGTCTACATGGATGTTGTGCAGCTGTAATTTAATACTAAGATAACACTTCCTAACATATAGATCCTATGTAAGCTTCTCATATTAGCATCTGACTTCTTTCTTGTCTTTTTCAAGGTCATAAAAAGTGTTAGAAATTTTCCCATAGTTTTTAGTTTTAGGTTTTTGAAGAAAGGCTAGCCTGTATGATTTTTCTGATTATATATAATCTATCTTAATACTAGACAGTTATAGCAAATAAAATTCAGAGACTTTCGAAAATACAAATGAGGGGGAGGTTTGTACTATGAGCAATATTTTTCTGATGAATCTGTGATCTCTTGGGAAAGGAAATTGAGGTAAGAAGAATCTACAGAAAGTCTCCAGGCTGAAGTATTGTTAATTTTGGAGGGATCTGGGACAGACTGAGCTCCTGACCAGAGTTACGAATGTATTACTGTTTCTTTTCCCTAGGCAAAAGGACTACACTTTCTTTGGATTGCCAAGGAGTCTATATTAAAAAAAAAAAAGCCACAAGATTTACCCCTTGAATCATTCACAACTCATAAATCTCCGCTCCCCCTTTTCTTTAAATTATTTTACCTGGTTTCCATGCTGGTTTTCATTTCCTGATTTCATTGTCTGCTCTATCCTTAGGAATACCTGCTTGATGTAGAGGTATATAGATCTGTGCTTCCAAGAGAAGAGAGTTCTCCTTCATGGGTTTTGTGAATCACTGGTTACTGTGAACTTTGTATGTTCTTTGTCAGTGCATATATGTAACTATAGATCTCTTTACACCTGCACATCTATTAATGGGCTTTCATGGCAGTGCTAGTGGTAAAGAATCTGCCTGCCAGTGCAAGAGGTGCAAGAGACATGGGTTTGACCCCTGAGTTGGGAAGATCCCCTGGAGTAGGAAATGGCAACCCACTCCAGTATTCTTGCCTAGAAAATCTCATGGACAGAGGAGCCTGGTGGTCTGCAGCCCATGGAGGCACAAAGAGTTGGGCACGACTGAGCACACGTCCTACTACTGTGTGTACGTGCATTAAATACTGCATGTGTGCATGTCTAATACACACGTGCACACACGTGTGTGTATGCTAAGTCACTTCAGTTGTATCCATAGCACTATGCGTACGTGCATTAAATACTGCATGTGTGCATGTCTAATACACACGTGCACACACGTGTGTGTGCATGCTAAGTCACTTCAGTTGTATCCATAGCACTATGCGTACATGCATTAAATACTACACGTGTGCATGTCTGTAACACACACATGCACACATGTGTGTGCGCATGCTAAGTCACTTCAGTTGTATCCATAGCTCTATGCGTACATGCATTAAATACTACACGTGTGCATGTCTATAATACACACATGCACACATGTATGTGTGCATGCTAAGTCACTTCAGTTGTATCCATAGTACTCTGCGTACGTGCATTAAATACTACATGTGTGCATGTCTATAACACACACATGCACACATGTATGTGCGCATGCTAAGTCACTTCAGTTGTATCCATAGCTCTATGCGTACATGCATTAAATACTACATGTGTGCATGTCTATAACAGACACATGCACACATGTACGTGTGCATGCTAAGTCACTTCAGTTGTATCCATAGTACTATGCGTACGTGCATTAAATACTGCATGTGTGCATGTCTATAACACACACATGCACACATGTGTGTGCGCATGCTAAGTCACTTCAGTTGTATCCATAGCACTATGCGTACATGCATTAAATACTACATGTGTGCATGTCTATAACACACACATGCACACATGTACATGTGCATGCTAAGTCACTTCAGTTGTATCCATAGCACTATGCGTACGTGCATTAAATACTACACATGTGCATGTCTGCAATTACACGTGCACACATGTACATGTGCATGCTAAGTCACTTCAGTTGTGTCCATACTACTATGCATACATGCATTAAATACTACACATGTGCATGTCTGTAATATACACGTGCACACATGTACATGTGCATACTAAGTCACTTCAGTTGTATCCATAGTACTATGTGTACGTGCATTAAATACTACACGTGTGCATGTCTGTAATTACACGCGCACACATGTACATGTGCATGCTAAGTCACTTCAGTTGTGTCCATACTACTATGCATACATGCATTAAATACTACACATGTGCATGTCTGTAATATACACGTGCACACATGTACATGTGCATACTAAGTCACTTCAGTTGTGTGCAACTCTTTGGACTGTAGCCCGCCAGGCTCCACTGTCTGTGGGATTCTCCAGGCAAGAACACTGAGTGGGTGGCCATGCCCTCCTCCAGGGGATCTTCCCGACCCAGGGGTTGAACCAGAGTCTCTTAGGCCTCCTGCATCAGCAGGCAGGTTCTTGACCACTAGTGCCACCTGGGAAGCCCCCAAACACGTAGATACATGTATGTACATAGACACATATGTTCACATTGATGCCTTTGTATATTTAAGCATGTGTACATTTTTATGCGTGTTTATATATAAATGCATGCATACATGTATATATATGTATGTGCACACATATCTATATATGTAAATATGCATGTAGTATGTATTTATATATCTATATACCTATGTTTGTATGTATCTGCTGCTGCTAAGTCGCTTCAGTCGTGTCCAACTCTTTGCGACCCCATAGACGTCAGCCCACCAGGGTCCCCTGTCCCTGGGATTCTCCAGGCAAGAACACTGAGTGGGTTGCCATTTCCTTCTCCAATGTATCTGTATAGGTGAATATAAATATTCAGATATATATATGCACATATATATATATAGGATGTGTGTATCCATGCATGTGCATATGTGTATGTGTGCACATGTACACATATCTGTATATACATGTGTGTGTGTGTGTGTGTGTGTTTACACATGCAGTATGGGGCTTACCAGATGGACCCAGTGGTAAAGAATCCACCTGCCAATGTAGGAGACGTGGGGGACACAGCTTCAGTCCCTGGTTCAGGAAGATCCCCTGGAGAAGAAAATGGCAACCCACCTGTGGGGAGAGAGCAAATTAGCCCAGATGGGGTGTTCAGGCTCCCCCACTCCGAGTTTTGTAAATAAGGACTATGTAACAGCTGAGATCACTTACAGCAGTGAGCATGTGCTCCCGAGGTCCCTGCTGGGCCAGGGACTCCTTTGTGCGGTAGCCCTCCGCAAGCTCCAGCTGAAAGGTGTTGGCCTTCCCGCTGCGCCCTGGCGGGGTCCTGGGGTGGCCGGAACGGGGCGGATGCGGTGCGGCTGCCGCCCCGGCTGGGAGGGGAGACGAGGGTGCGGCTCCAGCGGCCCCTCCAGCCCCGAGCCCCATGCCCGCCCCGGGTTCAGGGACAGCGCGGTCAGTGCGGTGCAGCGATACAGTTGACGTCGAGAACAGGACCAGCACTACGCCACTCCACTATACTTGCCTGCAAAATCCCAGGGACGGAGGAGCCTGGCGGGCTGCCGACCATGGTCGCAGAGCCAGACACGACTGAGTGAGTGCACACACATGCACGCACACACACGCAGCGTGTGTGTCCGTATTTCGGTATTCACGAATGTGTACGTGCTTGCCCTTCTGTTGATACTTCGGCAGAACCTCGTGGCTGTGCACGGAGCATCAGAATGTGCTCGGGGAGCTGCGGCGCGCAGCGAGCAGGCCCCGAGTCAGGCGAGAGCCAGATGGGGGAAGTTTGGGTCAGTTCCGCCCAGCAGGCGGTGGCTTCCCTGAGATCAGAATTTCCTGGAGAACCCAGTTCAGGGGGTTGAGGTGAAGTGATGTTTGCTCGGTGCTGTAAATCATAAATATCCGGCTGTTCTCATGGTGTTAAACGGCAGCCGGAGACCAGGGTTCAGTTACCAGTGTCTGTCTTGCTCTGGCGGAGACCCGCTTACGAGTAGGGAGGGATGGGGATGGGATCAGTGATGGTTTCAGTTACCTGATCAATTTTTCTTGCTGGAGCATGATGTTCTATTTTCCTTGCCCAGACAGTCTCATTACTCAGAAACTCTGAGGAAACATGCTTTTCAGCAGCTGTGAAATGTGCTGCTCCTTCTATGGAGAGCAGACAGGCGCGGCCGTCAGAGTCCTCCTTCCCCACCAGCTGGCTCCTAGATGCTGGTGAGAGACAGGTCACTTGTTGACACTGCTTTTCCTAACTCTTTACTTTTTTTTGAATTTGAAAATAAATGTTTTCTTTTTAGCATCATACATGGGAAGATCCCCTGGAGGAGGCATGGCAACCCACTCCAGTATTCTTGCCTGGAGAATCTCATGGACAGAGGAGCCTGGCCTGCCACAGTCCACGGGGCCACAAAGAATTGGACACGACTGAGTGACTGAGCACACGAGAATAGTACTTGCCTCTCAGAGACATTGTGAAGATCAAATGAGGTGACGTGTAGGAAAACACTGTATCAAATATTCAATTTAGGTTCCTGTTGCTGTTATTGCTACTCGCACTACTTACTACTGTTATGGTAGAACATGAGTTAGCAACAGCCCCCAAAATAGATTGAAACTGTTATCCACAAATAATTAAGGATTTTTAGCTCCTGAAAGTTATTTTATGTATTCATTCCAGACTCACAGCTATTCAGTGACAACTGTGCTTTGCTTATAAACATTTGGCCACCAGATGTTGCCTGTCTTATGTGTATGAGTATTCTTCCTTTTTTCAGAGAGAGATGGATTTTTGGGTGTTACTTGTACTCTTAAGTTGAAAAATAAAAGCCTATGTCAGAATAAGTAATTCAGGCTATTTACATCTCATTACTATAACCTTGGGTGCATACTCAATTGACAGAATGTATCAGGAGTCGATATTCTAATCAATCAAGCTATTGGCACCTCTAAAAAAAATTAATGTTGATAATAATTAGATTTAAAGGTACTGCAAAATGTTTTCTCCAGCCACAAAATAATAGAATCACCTCACAGTACTGGAGACAGATCGCTAACATCCTTATTGCAACCTGATCATTTCACATCACAGTATAGGCAGGGTGGTTCCTCTGACTTTCAGGAGGTTTTGTAGATGATGAATTTGATTTCTGGCAGTAATTAATCTTTATAGAATTATATAGGGTGCCTAAGAAATGGATTTTTTTCAAAGATGCCAGATCTGAAATGATGAGAAATGTCCAAACAAGTGTACTTTTAAGCAAAACTGAGTTGGATGTATAAATTGTATGCTGAAGTACATGGGATCAGATATGAATTCAGGACTAGAGGAAAAACAATGCATTTGTTTAATTTCTTCTAGTGCTCCTTTGAGTTCTTGTTAAGAGATGTCTGATAACTGCTCAAAACCATTTTATCCAACTCTTCAGGGCAGCTGATCTATGATGAGACAGAAAGAGGACCCTCCTTTTAATTTCTCCTGACTTAATCGATTAAGTATGTTAATTACTCTACTTAAATTTTTCTCATGGTGTTGTTTGTTTGTTAAGGTGGATCGTTCTGGCAATTGATGAAAAATAGCTTCCTGCTAAGCCAGCATAATGAATATTGACGTTCTTGGCGTTTACAGCCAATAGAAATCACATTTTCAAGTCTCCATTTCCAAGGTGCTTACTTAATAAATAACTTCTTTGACCGTCTGCACTACGGGGGGCACACTCTCTCAAAGATTGGCATGAGTAAAGCTTGAAAATTGTTTGTGGATTAACGTCAGCATCTGTAAAGAGCAAATACTGAGGTTAGAGTTTGAATCTCCAAGACAGAATGGTAAGGGGAAGTGGGGCTTGGGAGTCTGGAGATGCCAGCAGGACAAATTCAGGCATCATTAACTTGCGATCTCTGCCCCTGCTGTGTCTCTGCATTAGAGGAACATTACTGCATTAAATGCGGCCTGCAGTCCTGATAAAGATGCTAATTGAAAGAGGAACTTTTCCAGCACCTTTCCACTTTCTTCTATACCCTGCTAAACCTTTATCTTAGTTTAACAGAGAAAACAAACAAAAAACCCCCTAAGGCCTGAAAAAGATGATAGCAGGAAGAGGAAGCTATTTTTTTCTGTGTCTCTTATATAAACGTTGTCTTTTGGTAATACACATCTTTAAAAAATGAGAAGGAAAGAAAGCCCTTTAAAACACTTAAAAAATAAAATGACACTTTCCCAAGGAATATTATAAGTTTCAGTCTCCAGACTTTGAAGCTCTCTTATGGGGCATTTTTCTACAAAGATCTTCAAATAACACCCCTTTAAAAAGCTGTCTCTCTTTGACAGTTCTAGTTTACCAATCCACGATTACTTGTCATATCTTGTTTTCAGTGTTCACGTGTAAAATGATAACCCCTTTTTTCCCTACTTACAGCTCTCCTCTGAAAAGAAGTCTTTATGATGAGGTTCTGTCCTCACTTCAAGTCTTCTAGGATTTCACAGAACTGGAGAACCTTTGTGGATCTTGGATATCACCTTTGCCAAGCCTCATATACCCCAGGTAAGGAAACTGAAGTATGTTTCAAGTCAGTTCCCTCCACTTACTTGTACCTTCTGAGTGATCATGCCAAGTTTAGAACTCAGGCTAACTGCCCTGCTCTTGGCTACCACAGAGTTGATAGTCTCTTTTCCTAATTTCAGAAGATGAAGACAGCAATCCTTTGACAGCTTGCTGTAGTTCTGGTTCACAAATGTTTACTTTTCCTCAATTCTTTTGAAAATCCACTACGACCAGGGGGAAAGAGTTTCACTTTATAAAGTACTGCAGCATCTTAGGTCCTTTGCATTTGCTTTTTACATATTGCTGTCTTCCTGTGTCCGCGATGAAGTGCACCTTTGCCCAAGAGGAAACGTAGCCATTGTATCCGCTTCCCCTTCTGCGTGGGAAGAAGGTTTGGTTGTGAAATACTGTTCGGAGTCAGCCTCAGCCTTGCGGTGGGAGAGTTGCCTCCTGGCGACCTCAGCTACCCTTAGGGAGTAAAAGATGGTGAGCTCATCACAGACTCTGTAAACCAAGGCTCCCCAACTTGCAGGAGCTAATGCCTGATGATCTTAGGTGGAGCTGATGTAACAATAATACCAGAAATGAAATGTATAGTAAATGTAATGTACGTGACAGTGAAGTCGCTCAGTCATGTCAGACTCTTTGCAACCCCATGAAAGGTAGCCTGCCAGGCTCCTCCCATGGGCTCTGCCAGGCAAGAATATTGGAGTGGGTATCATTTCCTTCTCCAGAGGATCTTCCCCATGCAGGGATTGAAGCCAGGTCTCCAGCACTGCAAGCAGACTCTTCACCATCTGAGCCCCCAGGGAATCCTGAAACCACTCCCCCCATCTAACCCACCCTCTGGTTGTGAAAAAATTGTCTTCCACAAAACCGGTCCCTGGTGCCAAAAAGGTTGGGGACCACTGCACTAAACTGGTTGAGGTCATCTGAATAGACTCGCCTGAGTTACTGACGGTGAGATTACTGCTGTATCAACACAGGGTTTTAGAATTTCAGTGGCGTTTATTCTGTCAACTGTTTGTTTTGGCGGACAGAGAATCAGTGGTTGTATTTGTCAGTGCTTTTTATTGGTTGCAGTTCATAGAAGTTTAGACCTAATCTGAATGTATATCTTAATCGAGCTGGCTAAACCTCAAAAAAAGGGAGTCTGAGAGCTGTTTTGGCTCCTGTAAGTTTAGGTGATGGATTCAGGGGCTTGGATGATGCCGTCAGTCTCCCCTCTCTCTGTCTTCTCCCCTCGCCTTGGTTTTCCTTCTCTTGCTCTCCATGCTGCCAGACAGCTTACGTCCCTCTTTATTCACTCTGGTTGTTGTTCGGTCACTAAGTCATGTCTGATGCTTTGCAACCCCGTGGACTGCAGCATGCCCGCTTCCCTGTCCTTCACTGTCTGATGTCCATTGAGTCGGCGATGCCATCCAACCACCTCATCCTCTGTCATCCCTTTATTCTCCTGCCCTCAGTCTCTCCCAGCATCCAGGTCTTTTCCAGTGAGTCAGCTGTTTGCATCAGGTGGCCAAAGTATTGGAGCTTCAGCACCAGTCCTTCCAAAGAATACTCATAGTTGGTTTGCCTTAGGATGGACTGGTTTGACCTTGTAGTCCAAGGGACTCTCTAGAGTCTCCTCCGGCACCACAGTTCAGAAGCACCAGTTCTTCGGTGCTCAGCTTTCTTTATGGTTCAGCTCTCACATCAGCGCATGACTACTGCTGGCCTTGGAAAGTTGGAAATCTTGGCTCATGTTGGCCCTGTGTGCTCTTAAGTACGAGCATGCCGTTTGGTGCGTTCAGGTCCCCTCCCTGCTTCCGTGAAGCTGCTGAGAGAGTTAGGTGGCAGTCCCACCAACAGCTCAAGGACAGAAGACTGGCCAGGGAGAGGAACTGTTACTGAACTAGGGGCTCGATGCTTGCAAGAAACTAATAATAATAGTTGAAA